AGAAGAAACTTAGTGGCGGTGAAAGTTTCATCAAGAGATGATCAAATTAGTTTGATAGAATTGAAGTTTTTTCATTTTATTAATTTCTTATAAGAATACAAAAAATAAAGAAATAATTTTGTCCATTTCTTATAAAAATATCAGAGATATCTAAAGAGCAAATGCATTATTGATAGATTGGATTCACATGCAACTTAATAAATTGAAAGGCATAATAACTTGGAGCAATATATCAATATAAAAAATACTTACAATTATAACACATTTTTTATGTGTTCTATATATGACAAAATGACTCATAACGATAAGAACATTACATTAGGGGACCATAAATTTTTTTACGTTTGGTATCATTCCTTTTTTTGTTTTTTCTTTATGTTTCCCTACCACCCGTCACTATAAAATTCAAAAATTCAGCTATGAAATTATTATTAATTTTTCATTAAATAGTTCATGATTTACGGTCTTTTTATGTAATTTTTATATAATATATAGTATTCCCTTTATCCCGATTTATGTCATACAAATGAAATTTCAAAAGTCAATCAATTTTCTTATAAGTTCTTTTTTATATTTAACTTGTTAATTATTGTGATTTATAGTATATTTTATGTATTTTACATAATATATATTTCTCCCAATTTATGTGATATAGATGAAATTTTGAAAGTTAGCAATTTTTTTAAATATATATCTTTTAAAAATATTTTAAGGCTATTAATTATTATGATTTACAATATTTTTTACATAAATTTTTATTTATTTAAAGTAATAAAATAAAAAATTAAAGAAGAAAACATAAAATTACTAAATTACCCTAAATATACAAGCAGACACGTTGACGAAGTCCTACTTGCCTCTTCTACTAAGTAGTAATATACACACTTCACAAAGCGTTGTCTTTTCAAATGTATAAGGACTAGATGGGGTGTCTCTACGATGGACTACTTGAAACAATTATAAGCCAATGGTAATTAATATTCGAAGTTTTAATTTAAAAATTATTATATTATTTGAATTGAAATAAAATTAGTTTTAGCATTTTTAGTAGAAGGCTACAAGATATTTCAATGATCTCGAGTCAACAGCAGACACACATGCAAGGTTATGGGTGCTCGAACACCCACGACGTTTGATGTAAATTCGTGTATCAATAAACAAAATCTATATATAAAGCTGAATATAGAGAACCTCTCTATGGCCAGCATTCCTTTTATCTTTTTTCTCCTTTTTTTTCATTTTTTAATCCATATATACTAATTAATTAAATAGCTTAAGAAAATACAAATAAAATAACTTGTGACTTAACAAGTCACGAAAATGCAATGACTAACATTTATGCTAATAGAAAGCCCACGTAACAGTAATTTGCATTAAAGCCCAACTAACCGCTTCATCCCACGTACTAGCACTAACACATAATGCTAATTAATAGCCAAACCTTTGGCTTATCAATTTCTTCGATTTTAAAGGTCTTGTGTATAAGAAAATGTATTAATTTCTCCAATTTCATGTTCAGGGAATCCCAGAAGCATTTGGATGGAACTTCAAGTGAAGATAATTTGTTACTAAAAAGAATGGTATGTCAAAATTTTATTTAAGAATAATATTTTACTTTTTACAAATATTTATGGTAGAATTTCATGAAATACAATTGATTTTGTAATCAATTCTGTATATATAATGAGAAGAGTTTCTTGAGATGGCAATGAGGGTATTTGGTGTTGAAGAAGCATTGCTTAGTTATTATCTTCATTTGAAACATAATGACATATTCAAAAGACCTTATAATAAGTTATTGTTTTGTAATCGAACAATGTGAGAGTCACTCACCTCTTCATCCGTTACTTTTATGAGATGATTATGTAGAATTGATTGACGATCATGCTATTGGGAACAATGGAAAGAACAAAACATTATGAAAAGAAGCAAGAAAAAACAATTAATACCGTAACAAGTTGATAACATTTGATTATCAATATTTTAAATATCCTAAAAGACTTCACTGGTTCTATTGGATATCACACTTATTCAGTGCAAATATATCTTCATTTTACAAACGTCGTTTCATGTTAGCTCTTCTGTTTTCTAATCTTTTCTCCCTTTCAAGTTTATATTTTTCTCTGCCTATTTTGTGCAAATGTTTTATGTTGCAATTACTTCACCCTTTGAGTATAAGGGATGAGATGTGGATTTTAAATTTAAATTCTAAGCATTGAGACATTTCTTATTCTCTTGAAAAATTTGTTGCATGAAAATTTTATCTGTTATCTGAGTGATTTGAATATAAGTTATTATCAATAGTTTAACAAATAAAAAAATTTGAATTGAATTAGCACCACAATTTTTTCGTTTATTCAAATATATTATAGCTAGAAATTTAAAACTAATATCTATATATATTTATATATAATTGGTCATAGACAAAGTGATATTATAACTCTCTAATCAATAACCATATTTTTCTTTTTTCTCATCTTTTACCATTTAAGTATCAATTAATTAGGGAAAGATAATTGCTATAAAAGATGAGCAAAGATGAAAGACGTTAGATTTCAAATAGGTAATGAGAATATTAAAGTAGAAAAAAGTATTAAAAAAATTGATTATTCAAAAATAAAGCACAATCTTTGACTAACAACAAGAATTAGGGAAACAAGAAAATAATGAAATTAAATAAATATAGAAAGGATCGAAAGAAGTAACGCTCCAGAAAAATAAAAAGAGGAAGTAGGATAAGAGAGGGAAAGAAAACGGAGATAATCACGAAGAAAATAATGAAAACTTGAGAGAAAGTAACCTATTTTCTAAACTAGAGTTTATTATTTAGGGTATGAACAAATGAGGGGGAGATTAGATACGGAAATAGAAAAAAAAAAAGATTTTGAAAAAAATAATAATTAAAAAACGATAATAAAATACAATTCATTTCTACTTATATCTACCTTTACTTTTCATTTCATGCCTTACTTTATTTTATTAGAAGAAAATTTTTAATGTATATTATTGATTTTGTAAGGATATATATGGATGTATGTTATTATTTGATTAAATTTTAATAAGTTTATTTGTAAATTTATAAATAATTTTTATGACCGCGCGAAGCGCAAAAATATTCACTAGTTATATATAATTAATTGTGAGCGCCCATAGTCACTAATGCCCATAGTCATATGTTAAAATGCTAAACTAAGAACATTTTAACATATGACATTACAAGAAAAGAAAAATTTGTACTATTGTACGTGAAATCGTCGTGATGAACCTCTCGACTTTACCTGCAATACGATTTCTACTAAACAAAATAAGGTGTTTTTCTTCTCACAATCTCTTACATGGAGTTATTATTTCTACTAAATATATAAAATGACGATTAAACATTTCATACATAAATTATGAATAAAATCAATTTTAAAAAATAGGCAAAATTTTGAAGGAGGACCAAAAGTGCACCAATATTGCAAACATGAAGGACTATTAATGCTCCATGTGAAAACTCAAGAATGACTTTGAGTCTTAACCCAAAGATGAGGGACTATTTTGGACCTTTTCTCGACTTGTTCTCGTTACAAATAATGATTTATGATTATTTTAGTATAAACAAACTATAATAGTTTAGTGACTTTCATGATATTTAGGTAACGATGAATAATATTTTTGTTGCAAAAAATAATTTGATTACGTTGAATTGAAATACTCGACCCTCACACTTTTTCTTTTCTTTCGTTTTTTAGGGTCATCATGTAGTATCTGCTCAACCCCGCTTTTATAATATGATTTAAATTTCTCTTGTTACATACTTAATCTAGCATACACACTACTTCTTGAATCGAATCTAGATTAATTTCTTTTTAATCGTGTGATATATTTAGATTTATTGTTTTTGTTTAACTCTATTTTACATTATGGTAAGATAGTGGCTTGAATCACATCTAATTGATTTCTTTTTAATCGTGTGATTTAGATTTATTGTTTTTTCTCAACTCTATTTTACACTACGATAAATTAGTGGAATGCATCTCTACTCTTTGTCGATTTCATATTTTCTTGATTTTCACTTTTTTGACAGTAACAATGTCTAGAGAATTTTTGCCAAAGTCCTACGGAAGTATTCACGGAATAGAACTTTAACTTCTATTTGTGATTCTAATTACATGACATTTTAACAAAAGAAATATAAAAATTTGATCGAACCATACCTTCATGAACCATCAACATAGTTTAAGTAGTAGAAAAAAATAACTGATAATTAAAGTGTGTTTTAATTTGGGGTGGATTAGAGTATTACTACTCTCCTTCACAATTTGGGTAGATATGTGCTAAGTATATCGACCTATTTCATAGGCGGAGTCAGAATTTTTATTGTGGAGTAATTCAAGCTCTTGACAATTAATAAAAAAAAACTATGTATCTATATAAACACCTCAATAAACTCATGTGGATTGTAGTTTAAGGCTATTTGTGTCCCTTCTTACAATCAACGCACAATGACAATTATCTATCTCTTGGAAGATGCAAAAAATATCTTTCAAATTATCACACGAATTCCAACCCAACTACCATAATATCATAATGGAATGGAACAATCAAACTACTTGATCACTAATTGGTATAAACATGATTAGGTGACAAGTCATGTGCTTAAAAAACATATATTTTAAATTAAATAAACATCAAATACGAATAAATATTTTCAGTAACAACATACATATATTTTAATATTCCCATACCTAGCTATCCTTTTCCCATTTTTTCAACTCAAAATCTACATCAATCACTACGATTAACCCAAGATCAGTTTTTTTTTTATAATAAATAGTATAACACATAGAAAATACGCGCATCTAAAGTCTATATCATACCAAACAATTTAACTTTAATTACAAATTAAAGCGAATAGAACACATCAATAAACCATGATCAATTAATAAATGTGTAATGAAACACATGACATATGTCTTATATTTATCAGTTTGATGTAGACATCAGAGATACATATATTAATTTTTCCACACCCAAAGATCTTTCCCATTTTGCCAACTCAAACTATATTTTGACCCTTCTTCTCCACCCATCAAACAAGAATAAAGCTCATCAAGTGCCAAATTAGACTCACAATTATTATTGTTGTTGTTAATTTTATTATTATTTACCCATGAACAACTCACATCTTCTTGAAAACTTGAACTCCCTCCTTCTTCACAATTACCACTAGAAATTGAACAAGGAATTATCCCTTGTGCTAATTCCTCTTGAACTTTAGCTTGTTTAATGGCAATTAGCATTTCATTTACCTTCTTCAACTCAATTTTTAGACGTTCATTTTCTTTCTCAATTTGCTTCTTTTCAGCTAATGTAGTGTCTAGTTTGAGTTGGAGTGTAGTATAGTCGAGCTCGAGGCTTTGATTCTTCCATCTAGCTCGTCTGTTCTGGTACCTGTTGAAGACATAATTATGTAAAAAAAAAAAAATTTAAAAAGCTTTTAGATGAGACGATGTTTATTCCACTATACAAAAAAATAGGAACTATTGACAAGTGTCGCGCCAAAGCCACCTTGTCCAGAAAGTCATCTGACACATTTTTATCAGAAAATTACATTATATATATACATATAGGTTTTTTTTAATTATGATATATATGTACTTAATGTTGAACCTCTAAGCTTCTTTCCTCTAAGCTTCTTTCATGTGATTGGTACTTCTCTATATTTTAGCTTCATTTAATGACAATCCTAGCTCTGTTACTACTAGAGATAGACAACTTCTGTCACTAAACAATAAAAATACTAAATCCCAAACGCGAAGTCAAGGAGGGAGAAGGTTGTTCGATTGAAGCCGGATCTTTATGATCAAAAATCTCTTTTTAAGAAAAGGATCTTTATGGGAAAAGAACTTACATATTTAGTCAGATAAAAATTTAAAGTTTATTGGCTCTGAAATTATCATCGAGCCCATATAGCTCGTTTTCATTTATTTATTGTGTTCGAAATTAAGTTCTCCTAACACAAATGCAATATTTAAGAAAAGTTATTGAGTTCATCTGGGCCGCTATCTAATATAGTAGCTCCACATTAATTATGCTAATCCTATTTAACAATAAGTTATTGAAAATAATGTTAGCTATGAGTATTTTAGCGATGAATTTACGATGAATTTCATAGGTATATTAATTACTTACCAAATAGCAATTTGTCTAGGAGGAACACCCAACTCTTTAGCAAGTTGAAGCTTTTGGTCAAGCTCAAGTTTCTTGGTTAAATCAAAACTTGCCTCTAACCTCTTGACTTGTTCTTGAGTTAGCCTCTTTTTGTTATGGTTCAATATAGATTGATGTTTATGTAGATATTGAGAATTCAAGAAATTATTCATGTTAGAAAAATGAAGAAGAGAGTTTCAAACTTGTAATATGATATTGTAGTGTTATTATGTTGTTGGATTTATACAAAAAAAAGAATCACAAGTCTTTAATGCCATTGGTACCTAGCTAGATTGGTTTTGTCATTAAAATATTCTTTAGAATTGTTTAATGTTACATAGGGAAGGTTCAAAAAAATTATGTAAAATCAAAGTTGAAATCAGAATTTTTAGTTTATAAATTCAGAATCATATTATTTTTTTTTGGCTTATTAGTTTTGAAACGAATATATGAACTTATTAAATAGATTTCTTAAACACAAATATAGGGTTTAAACTAAGTTTACTAGGGTTTTTTCGAACTCGGAATTGTCATTGTGGCTCTACCCTAATTGAGATAAAGCGGTAAATACTTTTTTTATTTTTAATCAAAAATCTTAAATTTAATCTTGATTATGAAATCAGTTTTGTTAAGAAATACTTTGCCCTTCAATTAAGTGTTTTTAATGTAAATTTAAATTCAATCAAACTTAAGTACGAATATCAAACATCTATCTCGAACCTAATAAAATATTTGTGTAGGGAAAGAACTATATGAAGAGGTGGATAGGGCTGACTTCTCATGCAGTGAGTTTGATGTTCACGTGAAGTTGGTCCTACAATGTTAGTTTAAATAATATTTTTTTAGTAAATTAAAATTTAAAGTATTTAATTTTATTATCATATACAGATTAAGGAGTTGATAATCAAATAAAGTAACAATATCTTTCTATTTTTTAATTAAAAAAATAATAATACTAAACTAGTTTCAAATTTTCAATGTCCGTATCAAGTACTTGGTCATCTTTTTGTTGCTCCACTAGAACAATTTTTTATTTTTAAAAAACTAACAGTTTGGTGTATAAAATATTTCACGTTCACATAAAATTTAGAGAAGGACTGCATTTTAAAGGGTGTATTGTATACAATTTATCCCAATACAAGTATTAATGGTTATTTTTACAACTCAAACTCAATTTATAAATCACACAAAGATAACTTAACTGTTGCTCTAACACATTTTTAAAGTTTTTTCATTTTTAAGAGAATAGAAAGCAAACATATTAAAATTAATGTCACCCATTTTTTTTCTTGGTGATTAAAGCTAAATTTTATGAGAGCACAGCTGTATGCAATAATTTATATTCTTTATGGTTCTTTTGAAAATAATATTCAGTTTCTTTGATAAATGTATTATTTATTTGAGTTCTTAGGTCAATCAACTTTATGTTGTAGCAAAGCCTTTAGTTAAAAGGAAAATCTTATCAATACAAGAAAGATACTTTGAAGCACTACTCAAATACAATGACAATATTTATGGATCAATCATGGATAAGTTGGGTCAATTATATAAATTTTTATTTGTTGGAGCTGATCTAAAAGTTGATATACCCAATTCGTAATACCAAATGTTGTTATCATAAAATTTAGAATCAATAAAGTTTAAATTCTAGTCCCGTCTTTATTTACTGACCACGTTTCTCTATTTAAATTCCAATTCGATTTATGTGATCCTTGCTCATATTGTTGTTCTACAGTTTGGATAAAGGGTAAAGCTTGAGTAGTCTATAGTACACAGCGTAAAACTAGCTAATTCATTAAATACTGAATTAATAATTTCTAAATTTACTTTGTTACTCGATCTATATAAGCTTGCTTATATTATCAATCTCAAACCCAAATAAATAAGGAGGGTTGGATAGATCCCAACGTAAAACTAGTCAATTCACATAGTATACCAATAATTTATAAACCTAACTTTGTTTACTCAACTTTTATCCAATCAATTTAATATTTATTTTGACTACTTCTAGTTTAATCTAGTTTTTTTTAATTTCATATTAATATATATTATTATGCCCCATCACCAATTGGAAATAAATCTTCTTGAAGTGACATTTCTTCTTTTGGTAGAACTGAACTATTTTTTGTCAAAAACTGTAGGCTGTTGGAAGGGCATAACATTCCCCACAAATTTTATTAAGTATATAAATGGTGGTTGGAACCTTTGTTCATGCACCTGAGGGATTTATCAAATATTGATAAGACACTACAGATTTCCTTTTGATTGATAAGATTTTAGGACCCCCCCCCCCCCCCACACACACACACACCCAACAATACCATAAGGAAGAAGATGTTAGGATAACGAAAGATAGAAGTTAAATGTGACGATCAGCTCAATCAGAATGGAACAAGGCAACTCCCTCTCAATAAAACAACACCATAAGGAAGAAGATGTTAGGATAATGAAACATAGAAGTCAGGTGTGATAGTCAGTTCAGTCAGAATGGAAGCGATCAAACAAGATAAATTAAATGCTAATTATTTTATACTATTGGTGTAATTTAATGTGTTTTATTTGTTAGTTAACTATCAAAAATGCATTAGAAATATCACTTTTTGTGAGTTTTAAACTTGAACTGTCAACTTTTAGCGTTTTTTACCTGAATTATTAACAATTACTTCTTTATCAACACACATCTCAAAATTGAATAGACTAAATGATTGAATACAATCGCCAAAATGTGCATGACAGCTTAATTTATCTATGACAACTGACTCATAAATTTTGAGATGCGTTTTAATAAATAGTTGATGATGATTTTCAAGTAGGAAAGTGATAATTGAAATGTACTTTTTGACTATTATCTTTCTTCTTCTTTTTTATCATATGCTAGAAATTCAATGGTTTCTTTTAAGCTGGATAACTAACATTCTCAAGCAAATAGGGTAGAGAGCACATCATTTATTTTTTATTATGCTAATTAAATGATGTGAAGAAGATGATGATGGAGACACCATTAGATTAAAGGGTCCAAAGTCTTTTGGATTTTTGGAAGGACCCCATTAGTTGAGTTATTTGTTTATGATATTATAATACAAGAAAGGGGGGATTCAAAGAACTACTATTAGATAGCAAAGAATCAATGATCTATAACAAAACATTAAACAAACTTATCTGTCACATGACTTGCTACCATGATTAATTAAATAAGAACTAGTTTGATAGGCCCTTCTTCATATTCTTGTTTGACCATGCCATTTTTGGCAACTTCATATTCAAAAGTACCACAACATTATACCTAATGTAATCTCAATGGGATTAAGTAAGGTAGACAGTAGTGTGTACGCAAACCTTATCTTACATTGTGAAGGTAGAGGGTTGGTTTCCGAAAAGACCTTCATCTCTTTATATTAAAACATAAACACTCAAATATTTTGGAGTTTAACTAGGTGATAACTTTTCACTACATCTAAGCCTTAATAGACAAATTTACCTAGTATTTGTACAGGGTGGAAAGTAGCAGATACATGTGGAATTGTCAGATGCAGAAAAATTGTCCCAAAGCATCATTCATTTGTGTTATGTAATTTCAAAATCCAAGTTGACAACTTAATCAGTAGGCTGAAACTGGATATGTATCAACGAAAGTTAAATCTAATAAAACATAACAACAAAAAGATCTCATCATGATTTGTCATTCATCAGACACCACATGTGGGATTACACAGAGTATGTTGTTGTTCGTGTTGTAATACAAGGGATATTTGTTTTGTATATCGATAGATCACGTCCTCTGCATAAACCCAGGGCTCAGTGTATTTTGACAGCAAAAATAGCAATTTTTGTCACCCGTAGGGCTTAGGAACAAACTGATAAACCGATTGAAATACATGAAGGGCCATTTTGATCATTTTCTCAAATAAATTACATGCTCAAACTCTATAAAATGTTGCCATACCTATGTCAGATCCTCCAAAAATGCATTCTTTTGGAGGATCCGACACACACCCTTCAGCATTTTTTAAGAGCCCGGCAACATAGCAAATAAAAAGCCATCACACATAAAATTAGGTTTATATTACTAGATTAGTACTTTCCAATTCCAAAGGAACCACAACTGCAACAAAATGGAGGATAATAGTACTAAACCTGGTAGTAGAACTATGAACTTCAACTAGTTAGCGCTTTCACTAAAAAGATCCTTTGTTCACTCCATATTCACCAGCTCATACTCAACAAGGGAGAGATTGTTATCCTGTTTCACTTCAAATGCAGCAGGTTCAGTAACCTCGATGCGTCCCCATTTGTCCACAGCTAGTCTCATGGTGCTCTTGAACATGTCGATCTTAGCATTCCGAAGGATGACAGTTGCATCAGCCTTCATCAGATCAACTGACCACAAAATCAAAGTTAAGCATCAAACAAATCTTTGTTAACACAAGAAGAAACAAAACCAAATACATGGAAGCCATTTTGAGCACTAAACATCATCTGAACTGACAAAACTGGCTATAATTTCCAGTAAAATTGGGGGAAGGAAAAAGGCATAAATACAATTATGTGGACTCTATTCCCGGATGCCTTCACAGATTACACAGTGGTGCGACTTAATCAAAGTTATACTTGACTAATCTTATTAATAATTCAGCTTCTTATACAAAGTCAGACACCATGGTCATAAATATAAATACCCGAAATGCATCAGCATCCAAGTAAACAGGAAAAAATAGATGGTAAAGGCACAAAATGTACAAAATAGAAACTAAAATGAGAAAGAAGCACTGACTAGCAGTGCTGAATCAAGAAATTTGTGATGCAAATATACTATAGGCTCAGAATGGAGAAGGATGTGAAATTAACATCAACTGAACAGTCAAAAAGGAAATTATTTTTTTCCACAGAAAACACACATAAGCATCAACAATAGATGGATTCATATATCTTGATCAACAATAGAAGGATTCATAAATTACGATGTTAAATGTCTGTGTCTCACTGTTAGAGCCCTATAACAGACTTTTAAGTGTGTGTAGCGTAATGTTGTGCAACAGATATGATATTCGAGCCAAACCAAAATCCTCCTTGCAATGACAGCATCATCTATCATCCTTTTTGATTTCTGAAGAAGCCAAGCACATCAAGAGGTTACAATAGATGAACATCTATTTCATTTTGTGATTAACCCTGCATCAGAACTCAAACATTTACCTAGAGTGGCTAGTCCT